AGTCATGGAAAGGAGCGGAGATTTCCACACTGCAGTCTACACTAAGGAAACAAACATAGGAATGTGCCTCAATGCCAACAGTGACTGCCCAGACATGTACAAGAGGAGTGTTGTTAACGCTTATGTCGACCGTGCTCTCAGCCACAGCTCAGGATGGAAGCAAGTCGACGAAGAACTCTGTAGGGTAAGGCAGGTCCTAGTCAACAACAGCTTCTCCAATGGCTTCGTTGAAGACATCATAAGAAGGAAGGTGAAACGCCATGCAACCTCTGAAGAGACAACTAACACAACACCTGTACCCCCTATTAGACTATTTTACAGGAACTTCTTTTCCACAGCTCATAAAACGGAGGAAAGGGTCCTGAAAGATATTGTTAATTGTACGTTAATTGTACGTTATCCCTACAGACAAAAATCAGAAGATACAATTGACGATTTACTATAAAACCAAGAAAACGGCCAACCTACTCATGAGAAACTCTCCAGACACAAAGCAGAACGCTTTAAAAGAGACCAATGTCGTCTATGCCTCCAAATGCCCACTTGGGGACTGTAAGCCTCAAAGAACTCGGTATATAGGCAAGACAACAACATCTCTTTTCAGGCGATTAACGATGCATAAGCAACAGGGCTCCATTAAGGAACATATAATCTCTTCCCACAACCAGACCATCACCAGAGAAGTCTTAACAAAAAACACGGAAATCATCGATAGATACAGCGATAGCAGGCGGCTTGATATCTGTGAGGCACTACACATTAAGAAGTCAACACCAGGAATCAACAGCCAATTAATGCACAACCATATTTTACCCACTTCAAGACTCCGCACCAATATAGAAGCATCAAGAAATATGGGCCAATAGGCCCTCTGCAGTTACTTCCATTCTTCCCTTTAATTTACCCAATTTATACCGATTGTTTCGTGTTCTGTCTTGTGTTGAAAGTTTTGTTCACCTCATCCAAAACTGTTGTAACATATCACCTCACCCAAAATGCGGGTATAAAATGAAAGCTGTTTAAAATCATAGCATAGTAGAACTCTGTTTAGTGTTTGCAGGTTATAGTTGTGTGTGTGTAAACTAAAGTCTTTGAAAATGTAATAAGTTATTACGAAACGCGTTCAAGTGTCGCGTCAGACTAGAAATAAAAATGAATTTTGGAGAATTGATTTTTCAATTACCATCAACAGTGAAAAGAAACATAAGAAATATTGAGAAAATTCGTGTTAGAATTATTAATCTTACTTTTTCGGTCATATTTAATAATATTATATATATATATATATATATATATATATATATATATATATATATATATATATATATATATATATATATAAAGTTATATATATATATATATATATATATATAATAATCGCTGTGTACGAAGCAACCAACATCTTTCATTTATCTATAAGATTTTCATCCATCTTGAAACAAAAGTAAAGAAAAAGCCCCCACATTATGCAAATGTTATGAAACCCTGGGAGAAATGTGGTGCTGGTTGGAACACAGCATGATGACAGAAGCACTGTGCGGGAGGCTATAGTATGAAGGCTCCTCTCTCTGGTTTGTAATATAAATGTTAATGAATATGCCAAGTTCACTTGTTTTTTCGTTGTAGCATGTTGGCATGGTGATAGACAGCATGGCTGTGCGGTCAGCTGTGTGGTAGTGACTGGGTATGGCTCTCTCCTCACCTTCCAATCTCGCCCCCTGGGGGTTGGTGAGGGGGGGGGGGAGGTAAAAGGCATTCCTTTTCTTTTTCTACCTCTCCTCCCCATGGGACAGCAGAGAGAGAGAGAGAGAGGCTAGGATTAAGGCACAACTCGTCCCTCTTACCCCGAGGTAGCAGATGGGGTGAGCGGGGAAAAGATTAGACTAGAACACCTCTCATCTCACCCCCTGGGGGCAAAGGTGAGGTGTAGGGTTCACCTCCCCTCTCCTCCCCTGGGGCATCTCTGGGCGGGGGAGGGGCGAGGTGTAGGGTACTGTCTACTCACTAGACAATTCTGCAAGTATTCACTTTCTCCCGCTGAGAACGTTTGAAGAACCCGCTATACGTACTTCATCCCATATCTTCCTGAAATGAGAGTTCTTATTATAATCATTTGGTGGGAAGTACCAATATGTAGTCACAGACCCCCAGTAAACCACGTTTTGTACTATACAGTCCAGAAAAATTAACGTTAAAAAACAAACTTAAATATTTCTAGGTAAGTATTATACTGTATTAGGCCTAAGATAGGAATACTTCAGTTTAACGTCGGCGTTGGTGAGTGTTCATAATTTCCATGTTGGCTTCAGTAAAGTCATGTTCAATGTATTTAACGGTAGTTAGTTTAGTTCATTTATTATACACCCCATACCCATCTTGTGGGCGGTAGTGGAAAGGGTTACAGAGGCACATAATGGGCTCAGGGACTGGACCCCACAATTCATTTAGCTAAGCAAGTTACAGTCTTGATGAGCTAGTTACAAAATTCAGTATAAGTCGTCACATCAACAATGGGTTCGAGATCGACCATAAGCACAGTTTCTAAATTAAGCAACTGACATATGTACGGTAGTACAGTCGAGTTTGTTCTCGACTCACAATCCAGAATTCCGGGTTCGAATCCTGGGCGAGAAAGAAATGGTTGGGCGCGTTTCTTATCACCTAATGCCCCTGTCTTAGCAGTATATGGGTACCCAGGAGTCCGTCAGCTTGTTGTGGGGTTGCTTCCAGGGGAAGACCTCGATATAAGCCTAACATGTACTGTACATACAAACTGGCTGCCTGTCACAGCTGCCTACCCCTCCACAATATATTATTATTATCTACGTTGTTAAATCTCGGTGACAATCTGATTTGGATTGTAACTCTGCATTTATTATCATTTATTATTATTTATATATACAAGAGTTCTTACATTCTTGTAGAGTCACTAGCACGGATAGCGTTTAGGACAAGTCCTTAATCTTAATTTTCCCTGGAATACGACCCGCCAAATAGTTTAACAACCAGGTACTCATTCACTGCTGGTTGAACAGAGGCCACAGTGAAGAATTGGCGCCCAGTCAATCCTTCCCGGCCAAATCGCTCTCGAAGCGCCGGGTGAATGTCGCCACTGCGTCATGGGGACTGCATTGTGTTCCATAATTTTTTTTTTTTTTTTGAGATATATACAAGAGTTGTTACATTCTTGTACAGCCACTAGTACGCATAGCGTTTCGGGCAAGTCCCTGGAATACGATCCCCTGCCGCGAAGAATCGTTTTTTCATCCAAGTACACATTTTACTGTTGCGTTAAACAGAGGCTACAGTTAAGGATTTGCGCCCAGTAAATCCTCCCCGGCCAGGATACGAACCCATGACATAGCGCTCGCGGAACGCCAGGCGAGTGTCTTACCACTACACCACGGAGACTGTACGTAATGTTCCGGTGGTGTGTCAGACATTTTTCCACAATGATGACATTTCCTTCCTTCTTCTGCAAGCTGGAAGCCTATTCCCCATACACACACCAGCCAGGTGTGGTGGAAGTTCACGTTTGTTCTACTCAGCTGCTTCAGTCGACGAGAGTAGTACCTTCATGTGGTAATAAGGTGGCAGGAACTTTCCAATAAACATAGTTTAATCTCCACATCAGATGTGTACAATACGGTACACGACTTGTATTTTGTTCAGTTTTCAGCTAATTCATTTGGATGCATCTTTGGAGGTTGTATCTGTTTCATGATAGTTCAATATTCCTCGTGTGCCTCTCAGCAAGCTTCTCCAGTTGTCACATTAAGGACAGCTGGAAACCCTAGACTGTTGTAAAGTATTCATTATTTTATACGATAACAGCTTGGCAACAGTGTCGGCATCAAACTGTTTCACGATTTATTACTTAAAGCAGGAGAGTCCCCTGTGGTGCGATCCCAACTGCAGTCTGTTAAGCGTGGTGTGGCAAGACTTTTCTCACCTCCCCCCAATCTCTCTCTCTCACACAGAGTATCCAGTAACAGGCTGGTGCTTAAGTTGGAGAAAGACAGGAGTAACTGGTAAGGTGCTCCAGTGGATAAGGGAGTACCTAAGCAATAGGAAGCAGAGTGTTACAGTGAGGGGTGAGACCTCATATTGGCGTGAAGTCACTAGCGGAGTCCCGCACAGTTCTGTACTTGGACCTATATATATATACTGTTTCTGATATACGTAATAATGATCTCCCAGAGGGTATAGACTCATTCCTCTCAATGTTTGCTGACGATGCCAAAATTATGAGGAGCATTAACAGAGGAGGACAGCATGAGGCTTTAAGACGATCTGGACAAACTGTAGGAATGGTCCAAGAAATGGGTGTTAAGAGTTTAACCCGAGCAAATGTAATGAAATGAAGATAGTTGTAGGGAACAGGAGGCTAGATACAAGGTATTATTTGGGAGATGAAATTCTTCAAGAATCAGAGCGTGAGAAAGAACTGGGGGTTGATATCACGCCAGACCTGTCTCCCTGAATCTCATACCAAGAGGATAACATCAGCGGCATACTGACCAACATAAGAACGGTCTTTAGAATCTTGTACCACATATATCAGACCAATCCTGGAGTATATGCAGCTCCAGGTACCTGGGAGTTAGCTGCTTCCTGGGGACATGTGTGCGTGTGTTAGAAATATGTATGTAGTAGACATAATAAGGAAAAAATAGATCGGTTAGAAAGACTAGGTCCAAGAGCTAATAACTGGATTCTGAAAATCACAAATAGTAAATACACAACGAGGGTTCGATTCCCGCCCGAGACAGAAACAAATGTGCAGGGTTTCACCCGATGCCTTTTTTTTTTTTTTTACACCTAGCAGTAAATGGGTAACTATGTCTTGGCTCTTATTGTAAGCTCCGTCCTGTGTGTGTGTAATCATCCAGATGCGCTTCCTGGGGTTGAGAGTAGGCTTTTTTTGGTCCCGCCTCTTAACTGTCAATTAACTGGTGTACAGGTTTCCGAGCCTATTGTCCAAAGTAGTCCTCATACACATGGCTCTCATTTATGTATTTGTGTCGGTGAGATCCGAGTGTGGGTCCGTGGACCTTGGTGTCCCGTGTTCTCATTAGATGAGAACTTTGGTTGGTTTGTGCATGTCAGTATACCGTTGTTCATGTTAGATTTTCCGTTGGACGCCAAATGCCGCTGGTACCAAACTAACCTGAATTAAATGGTTACAATTGCGACAGAATTTAGCATCACCTGTTATCATGCGTCAGGTGTTGGGATTATATGAATTATTCAAGCTGAAACGTCAGAGAAAACGGTGAGTCATGGTGACGCTAGTGGAGGGCACACTTTATTATTTTGGTTTGTCGTACTTATAGTCGGGGACAGGAAGCCTGTTGGGCTTATTGAGATCGCAATAGGCCAATTGCCGATGACCTTTCCCAGGGTGCAACCCACAACAGCTGCCTAACTCGATTCCAGGTACCTATTTTACTGCTAGGTGAACAGACCTATCAGGAGAAAGGAAACGTCCGGCTCGGCGAAAGTATATTCTTGCGGTTGTCTTGAGATGATTTCGGGGCTTTTTAGTGTCCCCGCGGCCCGGTCTTCGACCAGGCCTCCACCCCCAGGAAGCAGCCCGTGACAGCTGACTGACACCCAGGTACCTATTTTACTGCTAGGTAACAGGGGCATAGGGTGAAAGAAACTCTGTCCATTGTTTCTCACCGGCGCCCGGGATCGAACCCGGGACCACAGGATCACAAGTCCAGTGTGCTGCTGTCCGCTCGGCCGACCGGCTCCCCGTATTGCCTACAAATCCAATATAATTGCGCAACAATAACAACAAAGAGTATACAGACGAGAATATGAACTCAGCAGGTGAAGTGCCTCAGGAGGACGTTGTTAATCAACAACCATTGCAATTCATACAGTTGATGAGCGCGTGTCATCACCCCCCCCCCCCCGTGCCGGAGCGTCACCCGGCCCCTCCTCACATCACCCCGACACTGACCCTCTCACACACTGACGCACCTTTATATGGCAGAAAGGAAAGCAGACCCTTCCATTATTACCATAAATTACAAATATACGAAAAAGCAGAAACTGGTAAGATCAAATATAATACCATATATGTGACCACCTCTCCCACTCCCCCCTTCCCCCCCCCCCCTCCTCCCCGGTAACAACATACACAATTAAGGTGTATATGATAAATATACACGGAGGGTATATTTTCGTCCTGGACTGAATCAGGCACTGAAGTGCACTTGCTGTGATCTCAATAACCTTCCGCACGTTGATAGGCCTAAAGCTCAACGCCAATATTTAAACAATCGTACTACATATTAATGTGAATTGTAGTTGACTGTCAGCGACTACGGGGAAGTGAGGTTTATTGTGCCCCGCCTGCTAGCCTTGTTGTAGCCGTTGCAGGTAAAGCTTCACTATTCTAACAATCACTATCTTCGTCGAACCTTTCTTGAAAGTTGTGAATGGAGGTGACTTCCACAACTTCTTCTTTTAGTGCCTTCCACTTGTTGACCACCCTTACAGGGTACGAGTATTTCCTTACATTCCTTCTGCCCAGTTGGTTTTCTAGCTTCCACTTGTGTCCTCTTGTCCTACTGTCTCTCAACTTAACGAAGCTGTCCTTGTCCACTTTGTCTATTCCCCTCAGTCTCTTGTACGTTTTTTTTTTTTTTTTTTTTTTTTTTTTTTTTTGAGATATATACAAGAGTTGTTACATTCTTGTACAGCTACTAGTACGCGTAGCGTTTCGGGCAAGTCCTTAATCCTATGGTCCCTGGAATACGATCCGCGCCACGAAGAATCGTTTTTTCATCCAAGTACACATTTTACTGTTGCGTTAAACAGAGGCTACAGTTAAGGAATTGCGCCCAGTAAATCCTCCCCGGCCAGGATACGAACCCATGACATAGCGCTCGCGGAACGCCAGGCGAGTGTCTTACCACTACACCACGGAGACTGTAAGACTACACCACGACTCTACGTTGTTATCATATCTCCTCAATTTCTTCTGTCCTCCAAGGGTGTGGTTCCAAGCCGGTGCTGCATATTCCAATACTGGTTAGGTTATCTTGAGGTTATCTTGAGATGATTTCGGGGCTTTTTAGTGTCCCCGCGGCCCGGTCCTCGACCAGGCCTCCACCCCCAGGAAGCAGCCCGTGACAGCTGACTAACACCCAGGTACCTATTTTACTGCTAGGTAACAGGGGCATAGGGTGAAAGAAACTCTGCCCATTGTTTCTCGCCGGCGCCTGGGATCGAACCCAGGACCACAGGATCACAAATTCAGCGTGCTGTCCGCTCGGCCGACCGGCTCCCAAACAAACTGGTCCTAACAAAAGCCGTGTAGATTGCTTTGAACGCGTCCTGATTTAGGGTTCTAAAATTAACGATGTTCTAATGTTTGCCAGCGTCCCATATGCTGCCGATGTCACCCTGCCCGTGTGTGCCGCTGGTGGTAGTGGGGGAATTATATCCAATCTCAAATGAATAAATCAATCAATCTACCTATTTCTTCTTTTCTCTCTCTCATTCCGTCTGGTCTTTCTCCCTTCGCCAGCTTGTCATTGGTTAATGTGAATCTTTAAAAAAAAACATTTCACTACAATATAAAACATAAGTCCAAAACAAGAGTAACAAGCGAAGACAAGAACTTGGTATAAATACACCTGTCCTAGATGTACTATACAAAACAGTGTATGTATAGTATACTTGCTGGGGTAACCGGCGGTGCCCAGGGCTCGCTATCCCCTCTCTTATCTTCTCCCATCACCCCTCTCCCTTCTATCCCTCCCTTTCCTCCCTCCCCCCCCCTCTCTCTCTCTCTCTCATCCCCTCCCTGAGAGGAGAGGAAGAAGGAAGGCCGAAATCTTCGCATACCATACTAGTAGTAGGCATCCGTCAATCCCGTGGGGTTATGGAGTTGTGCCCTGGGTGTCTAGTTGTAGTCTAGTTGGATGCAGCGCCTGCTGTGGCTGTGAAGGCCAACCCGAGAATGACAGTCCCGATCGCAGCGAGCGCAGATAAACACTAAAGCGGGTGCGTCTGACAGTGGTTGAGACCTCCTCTCAAGTCTATTATCCTCTGCCTGCCTCTTCAGTTCACCCTCGAATTGCTGGAGTCCCTTCTGTACTTTGTATCTCCAGGCAGATCTGTCCGCAGCTGCTGCCTCCCAAGTGTTGATGTCAATGTTCATCTGCTTGAGGTCGCGTTTGCAGGCATCTTTGAAACGCAGCTGGGGGTCTTCCGGGAGGTCTCTTTGCTGATGCCAGCTCTCCATAGAAGAGGTCCTTCGGTAAGCGGCCATCTTCCATGCGTGTGACATGTCCCAGCCATCGCATGCGTCTCTGCTTCAGGAGAGTGAACATTGAAGGCAGTCCTGTTTTCTTGAGTACTGTGTTGTTGGTGACGTGGTCTTTTCACGTAATGTCAAGGATGTGTCTCAGGTTCCGCATGTGGAAGGAATTGAGCCGTCTCTCCTGGCGAGAGTGCAGGGTCCAGGATTCCAAGCCGTAGAGAAGTGTACTCACCACACAAGCCATGTAGACTTAGGCTCCCTGCACTTTTCTTGAAGCTGTCTCAAGGAGAATGCCATGTCAGTGGTCGACCTCTCTGCTCGGAAACCACACTGTGACTCGGGGTACACTCTTTCAGCAAGAATCTGAAGCCTGACCAACAAGACCCTGGCGAAGAGTTTGCCGACGACGCTGAGGAGGGAGATCCCGAGATAGTTGTTGACATCGCTTCGGTCACCTTTATTTTTGTAGAGAGTGATGATGTTTGCATCTCTCATGTCTTATGGCACCGAGCCCTCCCTCCAGCACTAGCACGAAAGTTCATGAAGCTCAGTTTTAAGTGTTCTACGAGTGCACTTGAGAACTTCAGGCTCCTGGAGCCTTCCCTGAGGAAAGTGAATCCAGTGCTTTCTCAACTTCTTCCACAATCGGTTCAAGGTCAAATTCTTCCATGATGGGCAGGCACTCGATTGCATCCAAGGCCTCTACGCTGACCAAGTTCTCTCTGGAGTAGAGTTTGGAGTAATGTTCCACCCAGCGATTCATCTGTTAATCATGGTCTTTAATGATCTCTCCAGTGGCTGACTACAGAGGAGCCGTCCTGTTTTGTGTAGGGCCTGTTGCCTGTTTGATCCTTTCGTACATGACTCTTATGATGCCGACAGTGGCCGCAGTCTGGATGTTGAAGCAGAGTCGGAGCCAGCAATCGTTAGCACAGCGCCTCGCAGTTTGTTGAACTCTGCTGCGGGCAGTACGGAGGGCCTGTAGGTTCCTTTCTGAGGGCAGGTTCTTGTAGGATGAGAGAGCTCGTCTCTTTTCCTCTACGAGGGGGTAAAAGTTCCTTTGAATTGACTTCGAACCAATCTGCTGACTTGTTCTGCCTCTTACCAAAGGTGGACATGGTAATGTTGAAAATAGTGCCCCTGAGATGTGACCACCTCTCACTTGTGCTATCACAGGGTGGTACAGGAAGGGCGCAGCAGTGAATTCCTCCACTTTGTGAAGGTCACGGGTCTTGTTTACGTTAATGCGTGGTCTTCCCTCCTTCTTTGCTCTGTGGATTTTCCGGGGCTGGAACTTTACTCTGCAAACGACAAGAGAGTGGTCGGTGTCACAATCTGCGCTTTGGAAGCTGCGGGTCAGTTTGACGCTTCTCAGATTGCTACGCCCTGCAAGCACCAAGTCGAGTTGGTACCAATGCTTAGACCTGAGGTGTCTCCAGGAAACCTTGTGCTGGGGCTTGGTGGCAAAGAAAGAATTGGTGATGCAGAGATCATGACAACAGCAGAAGTCCAGGAGGGAGGGAAGGGAATTATTAGGGAAAAGCGCCAAGCCATTAATTACGACTATATAGCACTTGGAAAGGGTCAGGATAAGGATTTGGGATGGGACGGGGAGAAGGAATGGTGCCCAACCACTTGGACGGTCGGGGATTGAACGCCGACCTGCATGAAGCGAGACCGTCGCTCTACCGTCCACTCCAAGTGGTTGGACACAGAACCACAACACCCACCATCAACACCACAGTACCAGAACACCCCCCCCCCCCCCCCCACCATCAACACCCCAGTAACTTAACACTCACCATCACACCACAGTACCACAACACCCACCATCAACACCACAGTACCACAACACCCCCCAGAACTCCAGGAGGCGCTGCCCACTCTCATTCATCTTTCCAAATCTAAACTGGCCCAGGCAGGAAGGCCAAGAGCTGTGATCAGAACCAACTCTTGCATAAAAGTCTCCCAGGAGGAAGACTGGCTCTTGTTGAGGTATGTCTCTGAGAGCTAGGCCGAGGTCATCATAGAACTCGTACTTCGCTTCGGTAGAGGAAGTCAGTGTTGGTGCGGAGGCGTTGATGAGGCTGACCATTCCTGCTGCTGTATGAAGCTGAAGTTTGATGATCCTTGCAGACTCCTCCGTGGGCGGTACTATGGACCCTAACAACCTGTTCCTGATGGCGAAGCCAACGCCATGCTTCCCTTACCTCTTCTGGTGGTTTTCCCTGTCAGAAGAAGGTAAAGTCCTTCTCGGAGACTGTATGCTGCCGGTCGCGGGCAGACGTGTCTCCTGCAGGGCGACTATGTCCATCTGGAGCTTGCGTAGTTCATTGTTGATCACAACTCTCTTGCGGGCGTCGTTCACTTCCAGTAGAACTTCCGAGAGACCGGGTGTCATGGTTCTTACATTCCACGTGCCCAGTTTGAGAGCTGGGTGGCTCTGTGTTTTTCTTCTTTTGCCTGGTGCATGGTTGACGATCCGCTTGTTGGATTGTGGCCTAAGCCCCACGTAGGCAGACCGTGGCGGGAAAGCACCTTATTGGCTGGGGGCTGCCCAGCTTGAGGCGGGCGGTAACTGTTTTATGAAATCGGATGATTTCTCCCACCGACGGAAGCAACCCCTGGCAGAAGCAACGCCAAGGCGACGCTGGAGTGTCCTCTCCAGGGCACAGGCCTGGGGAGTATTTATGGAGAACCGGCTGTTGCCCATGCAGCAGATCCACCCTCTCCACTCCACTCCACCAATGTGATCCAAGGGAAGGGCAGGCGCCGATACGCTTGGCACCAGTGTCGTCGCAGGAGTTGCCAGAATGTAGCTGTAAACAGCTGCAAACCGCCTTCGGGACTCCGACTCCGGATTTTTCCTCGGGGTTGACTCCCAAAGCTTTTCCCATGAGTGGGTTTAGCCGCAAGACAGCAGAGGTTTGAATTCGGGGTTTTCCTTTCCCTAGATGAGCTGCCTTCCCAGGTTGACGAGTCCCATCTGCTGGAAGCAACTGATTTTAAGGCGCCAGAGGCCCGCCTTCGCCTCTTCTCCATGTTGGTAGAAGCAGTTCCGCCAGGCCTAGAGGCTAAGCCACAGGTGCAGGCCAGGAGCTGGACTTGGTTGTCAGAGACTATTTGAGACGCACGCCATCAGGGGCACTTTACAGGCTGTGGGAGCTTATCTCTACAACCCTTCCCCCCGGCTATGACAACCCTTGGAACCAAGGGTTGGTTACCACACTATGTCATCACTTATACCTCAAGTAAAAGTGTCTGGACACTTGCACCAAGCGTGTAAGTATGCGGACACATATATAACACCTGTCTCTCTAGAGAAACGAAAAATGCATCATCAGTGTTTATCAAGGGTGAAAGGTAGCTGTTAGACCACTTGTTGAGGGTGCTGATGGTGTGGAGCATGTTTAGGGTCTGGAGGGTGTAGAGCATGTGGACTGTATGGAGGGTGTGGAGCATGTGGACTGTATGGAGGGTGTGGAGCATGTGGACTGTATGGAGGATGTGGAGCATGTGGACTGTATGGAGGTGTGGAGCATGTGGAGGGTGTGGTCTCTGATGATACACCACTGGAGACATCTACAGTATCACACATTAATCACGTTTAATTGGATTCTCATGACAAATTGTGTAGAGTTGTTAGTACTTCCCCACACCCCCTCCCTCCCCCCCAACCACACCCCTTGCTCCTCCCCCAGCCACACCCCCTTGCTCTCTCCCCCCCCAGCCACACCCCTGGCTCCTCCCCCAGCCACACCCCCTTGCTCTCTCCCCCCCCCAGCCACACCCCCCCTTGCTCTCTCCCCCCCCCTCAGCCACACCCCTGGCTCCTCCCCCAGCCACACCCCTTGCTCCTCCCCTAGCCACACCCCTTGCTCCTCCCTCAGCCACACCCCCTTGCTCTCTCCCCCCCCCAGCCACACCCCTGGCTCCTCCCCCAGCCACACCCCTGGCTCCTCCCCCAGCCACACCCCTTGCTCCTCCCCCAGCCACACCCCTTGCTCCTCCCCAGCCACACCCATTGCTCCTCCCCCAGCCACACCCCTTGCTCCTCCCCCAGCCACACCCCTTGCTCCTCACCCAGCCACTCCCCTTGCTCCTCCCCTAGCCACACCCCTTGCTCCTCCCCCAGCCACACCCCTTGCTCCTCACCCAGCCACACCCCTTGCTCCTCCCCCAGCCACATCCCCTAGACACACCCCTTGCTCCTCCCCCAGCCACACCCCTTGCTCCTCACCCAGCCACATCCCCTGGCTCCTCCCCCAGCCACACCCCTTGCTCCTCCCCCAGCCACACCCCTTGCTCCTCCCCAGCCACACCCCTTGCTCCTCCCCCAGCCACACCCCTGGCTCCTCCCCCAGCCACACCCCTTGCTCCTCCCCTAGCCACACCCCTTGCTCCTTCCCCAGCCACATCCCTTGCTCCTCCCCCAGCCACACCCCTTGCTCCTCCCCCAGCCACACCCCTTGCTCCTCCCCCAGCCACACCCCTTGCTCCTCCCCCAGCCACACCCCTTGCTCCTCCCCCAGCCACACCCCTTGCTCCTCCCCCAGCCACACCCCTTGCTCCTCCCCCAGCCACACCCCTTGCTCCTCCCCCAGCCACACCCCTTGCTCCTCCCCCAGCCACACCCCTTGCTCCTCACCCAGCCACACCCCTTGCTCCTCCCCCAGCCACACCCCTTGCTCCCCCCTCAACCACACCCCCTGCCCCCCCCCAGCCACACAGGTACAACCAGGCCAGAATGAAAATACACATATTAACATCTCTGATGTTTTGGAAGTTTCCTATTGTGGCCACCACCTGGACACTTGCTATTGTGGCCACCACCTGGACACTTGCTATTGTGGCCACTACCTGGACACTTGCTATTGTGGCCACTACCTGGACACTTGCTATTGTGGCCACTACCTGGACACTTGCTATTGTGGCCACTACCTGGACACTTGCTATTGTGGCCACCACCTGGACACTTGCTATTGTGGCCACCACCTGGACACTTGCTATTGTGGCCACTACCTGGACACTTGCTATTGTGGCCACTACCTGGACACTTGCTATTGTGGCCACTACCTGGACACTTGCTATTGTGGCCACTACCTGGACACTTGCTATTGTGGCCACTACCTGGACACTTGCTATTGTGGCCACTACCTGGACACTTGCTATTGTGGCCACCACCTGGACACTTGCTATTGTGGCCACTACCTGGACACTTGCTATTGTGGCCACCACCTGGACACTTGCTATTGTGGCCACTACCTGGACACTTGCTATTGTGGCCACTACCTGGACACTTGCTATTGTGGCCACCACCTGGACACTTGCTATTGTGGCCACTACCTGGACACTTGCTATTGTGGCCACCACCTGGACACTTGCTATTGTGGCCACTACCTGGACACTTGCTATTGTGGCCACTACCTGGACACTTGCTATTGTGGCCACTACCTGGACACTTGCTATTGTGGCCACTACCTGGACACTTGCTATTGTGGCCACTACCTGGACACTTGCTATTGTGGCCACTACCTGGACACTTGCTATTGTGGCCACTACCTGGACACTTGCTATTGTGGCCACTACCTGGACACTTGCTATTGTGGCCACTACCTGGACACTTGCTATTGTGGCCACTACCTGGACACTTGCTATTGTGGCCACTACCTGGACACTTGCTATTGTGGCCACTACCTGGACACTTGCTATTGTGGCCCACTACCTGGACACTTGCTATTGTGGCCACTACCTGGACACTTGCTATTGTGGCCACTACCTGGACACTTGCTATTGTGGCCACTACCTGGACACTTGCTATTGTGGCCACTACCTGGACACTTGCTATTGTGGCCACTACCTGGACACTTGCTATTGTGGCCACCACCTGGACACTTGCTATTGTGGCCACTACCTGGACACTTGCTATTGTGGCCACTACCTGGACACTTGCTATTGTGGCCACTACCTGGACACTTGCTATTGTGGCCACCACCTGGACACTTGCTATTGTGGCCACTACCTGGACACTTGCTATTGTGGCCACCACCTGGACACTTGCTATTGTGGCCACTACCTGGACACTTGCTATTGTGGCCACCACCTGGACACTTGCTATTGTGGCCACCACCTGGACACTTGCTATTGTGGCCACCACCTGGACACTTGCTATTGTGGCCACCACCTGGACACTTGCTATTGTGGCCACTACCTGGACACTTGCTATTGTGGCCACTACCTGGACACTTGCTATTGTGGCCACTACCTGGACACTTGCTCAGTCTGGGGGGTTCTGGGGTAGGGGAAACCCGGGACGGGGTGGTTGGGGGCGATGGTGGGGGTTGCTGTTGAAGGGGTGGCTAGAGGGGGTAGTAGGGCTGGTAGAGGATGGTTGGGCAGGGGGTGACAGGGAGGTGGTTGTAGGTAGTAGAAGGCTGGGGAGGGGGTGGCAGGGGAGGGGGGTGGCTGGGGTGGGGGGTGGCAGGGGAAGGGGTGGCAGGGAAAGGGATACAATTACGGGAAAATAACAACTGACACGTTTTTGCACAAGTTGCGGGACGGTGGTACTTGGGGGTAGTAGTGGTTGTGGTGGTGGTGGAGGTAGTGGTGGTGGAGGTTGTGGTGGGGGTTGTGGTGGTGGTGGTTGTGGTGGTGGTGGTGGTGGAGGCAGTGGTTGTGGTTGTGGTGGTGGAGGCAGTGGTGTTGGTTGTGGTGGTGGAGGTAATGGTGGTGGTTGTTGTGGTGAAGGTAGTGGTGGTTGTAGTGGTGGTGGAGGTAGTGGTGGTGGTTGTGGTGGTGGTGGAGGTAGTGGTGGTGGTTGTGGTGGTGGTGGAGGTAGTGGTGGTGGTTGTGGTGGTGTAGGTAGTGGTGGTTGTGGTGGTGTAGATAGTTGTGGTGGTGTAGATAGTGGTGGTTGTGGTGGTGTAGGTAGTGGTGCTTGTGGTGGTGGAGGTTGTGGTGGTGTAGGTAGTGGAGGTTGTGGTGGTGTAGGTAGTGGTGGTTGTGGTGGTGTAGGTAGTGGTGGTTGTGGAGGTTGTGGTGGTGGAGATAGTGGTGGTTGTGGTAGTGGTGGTTGTGGTGGTTCTGGTGGTGGAGATAGTGGTGGTTGTGGTGGTGGAGATAGTGGTGGTGGTAGTGGCGGTTGTAGTGGTGGTTGTGGTGGTATAGGTAGTGGCGGTTGTAGTGGTGGTTGTGGTGGTGGAGATAGTGGTGGTGTAGGTAGTGGTGGTGGAGATAGTGGTGGTTGTGGTGGTGTATGTGGTGGAGATAGTGGTGGTTATGGTGGTGGAGGTAGTGGTGGTTGTGGTGGTGGAGGTAGTGGTGGTTGTGGTGGTGGAGATAGTGGTGGAGGCACTAAGACACTGTCCTCCCCTGTTTGACTTGCCACACATGCAGCCGCTCCGAGAAAATTATAGACTCGTTACCTCTTCACAAATTACCCGCCAAATATGGCGGACCCGACGCGGTGAGCGGCTGCGGGCCGCAGTGAATGTGTAAACGGAGTTATATTGATTTTCTGGGGGAAATGTGTCGAAATTCGGTGAAGCTCGCGGCCTTAGATCATCCGGAGGCGTGTGGAGGAGGTATTTTGGCGTGATCTTGAACGCTGGGGGAGAGATAGTGAGGAGAGAGGCGGGAGAGACAGAGAAAAGTGGAGGTAGAGAGACGGGTGGTCTGACATGGTGCCCCCTAGCGGTACATCCATCAGTCTCCAGACTCACCACCGCGGCCCCTCGTCCTACACTCTCTCTCTTTCTCTCTCTCCTCTCTCTTTCTCTCCTCTCTCTTTCTCTCCTCTCTCTCCCCCCTTCCCTCCCCCCTCCCTCTCTGTCACTCTCCTTGGACCACCTGTAGCGTCCATAAGCCGACATGAGTGACCTACGGGGACACCTGGGGAGGGGGGGGGGAGGCAGCTCAGGTGTGTGGAGACCTCAGGTGTGTGTGTGTGTGTACTCACCTAGTTGTACTCACCTAGTTGTGTTTGCGGGGGTTGAGCTCTGGCTCTTTGGTCCCGCCTCTCAACCGTCAATCAACAGGTGTACAGATTCCTGAGCCTATCGGGCTCTGTCATATCTACACTTGAAA